TATTATTATTATTATTCTTATTATTATTTTTTTGACTTTCTAATTTTGTGCACGCGATTTCTCGGAGACTATTGGGTGGATTGGCATGAAATTTGCAGGGAAAACGTGTCGTAGGCTGAATTTATTTTATCCGAGAGTAAATTCCATTAATCACATCCGGTGCCAAGTTATGGACCATTTCCTGATTTTAAAATGAAATTTTGTCCAGGGATAATCTCAAGAACGGCTAAAGATATCAATGTGAAACTTTTAGGAATTATAGATCATGATAAATTCTAGCCGGGACGTGACTTTTCGTTCGTCGTCGGTACTTCCGGTCGTTACTGGATGCGAATTTAAAAATTCGAATTTTCTAACTTTTTTGTTCTTCAATATTTTTCTTTTATATTAGTAGGGTTAATAGATGCCTTTCCAAAAAGGCTTAATATATAATTTGTTTAAAAATTGATAAATCCAAACTCTAGATATTCGCATTTTAAAATTTGAAGCGGGTCCAAAATGGCGGCTGTCTTCGCAAACTCCGACGAGCAGGTCGGCACTCGGATATCCTCGGTTGGATCGTTCCTCGCACACTAACTTCGGACGTCAATGGTGTTCTACCATGTTGCTGATACAGTCATGTGATCTTATATGAAATTCCTCCAAATGTTATACCTTTGAAGTTAGTTTCAAGCATGCCCAACACTATGTTTTGCTTTCAAAGACTACTTACATGATGCTGTGATCCAAGGAAGAATTAGACAAGAGAAAAAAATGTTTGAAGAACGTTATGCAAAGTAAAATAGAAAATGAGTTACAAGGCAGTTTCCGGCGGAGAAATGTAATCGATATGATGCATATTTCTCCACCAATCACTTCCGAGGTTTGTATGGAGCGTAGCGGAGTCAGTCGAGGATTGCCGATTGGCAGGTTGGAGTTTACGGAGACATCCGAGCGTCTTGTTGAACGAAACTACCATAAGGATCAATGAAATATGAATGAATTGTTGGATCTTTCAGGTTATGAAATGGATAATCTGTCATTGAAAACATAAATAATCTGACCTCCAAATGCAATAAAATGAGTAATTTGCACGGTACATACAATAATATATATGAGAATGGAGACCATTCAATAGAACATACATTTCAAAGAAAAGGCGCGAAGATTTACTCGTGACGTAATGTATCGTGACTCTTCGTTCATAGTAGAAAAATGTTTTGTTGTAGAAGTACAGAAAAAGATTAGACGGATACGTTTGTATAAAATACAGGTAATATGGAATTGCATGGAATAAAGAAGTTGAATACACAAAGAATAAAGGAAGTAAACAGTATCATCAGTTCATCAGTAATAGATTATTTGTTATTGTTTAAACTCAAGTAACAAATTCCGATGTGAATCTGCTTGCACAAAATTTGGCTAGCTAGCTCTCATTTTATAATTCCGCATTATATAAAAAAAACTTTTAACCTCCCTGACGCTCGTTACTTCAGGCAATGATACAAAATAAACATTGATGATGGCTGGTAAAATTGCGCTGGTGTATTGTTTTCCATATTGAATATTCACGAAGGCGATCTGGGTTTAATCCCGAATTTGTTTGCTTAAATTTACCTTTTCAACTTTATAAATGATGTTGAGTGTTTTTTTTTTGTTTTGTTTTGTTTTTGTTAGAGATGATAGAACATGATTTCTAGATTGGCGAAGGGACCTTTTCATGCGTCGTCGTTAGTTCGGGTCGCTTCCGGAAGTGAATTTAAAAAATCAAATTTTTCAACTTCAATATTTTTCTGTATTATTTGTAGGGTTAAGAGAGCCTCCTTTCAAAATACTAAATATATAATTTGTTTTCGAATTGATAAATCCAAACTCTTGATATTTGTCAATTTCACTTTGAAGTGGGAGTTGAAATGGCGTAATGATTAGCACATTGGATTCTCACGCTGACGACCAGGGTTAAATCTCCAGAGTGTCACTTTTTCAGCTTGAATTTACATTTTTATTTTCAAAATCGGACGGAAGACCTCATTGCTCGCAATGAGTTTCTAGTTATTATTATTCTTTTTTTCATAGTTATGGCGATATCTCAGCTGTGAGTAAGCAGATTTCAGAGATTTTTTCGCGGAAGATGCATCATGTAAATATCTCCAGACGTTTTTTTCATTTTTTCAAAAATCACTTCCGTTCGCGATTGTTGGGGAAATTTGTATTTTTTAAATGGCAATTTGTCCAGAATTTTTCTCGACAACGGCTAAAGATATGAAATTGAAACTCAATGAATAAATAGAACATCAAATTCCAATATGGGGAACGACCTTTATTTTTCGTCGTCGGCACTTCCGGTCGCAAACGGAAGTGAATTCAAAAAATCCAATTTTTCAACTTTTTTGTTTTTCAATATTTTTCTTTAGGATTTACAGGGTTTATAGAGTGTTTTACAAGAATTCTAAATATGTATTCAATATTTTGATGCGTGCATTTATTGCAAAGATATGACCGATCCAAACTTTGTCCCACTGTCTGGGGTTCGAATCCTGCTGGAGGTAGTTAATTTTTTTTCTTTGTTTTTCTCTTTTTTTCAGTTGCTAATGACTTCTCTCTCTTTAAAAACATGTATGGTAGTTTTTGCTGATTTTTAAAAGCTTTTTTGTCAGAGATTCTGTAGAAAACCTTTCGACATATACTGAATATCTTTGCATCTATGACATGTCCTTCTAAAACTATTCTAAGATTTCATTCTTGTCCCCAAAGCTTGACCCATTCAAAAGTTGTCACCCCTTTTGCAATAAAACCTTGTTATCGCTACTCCTCCCAAACCGTAAAACGTAGAGATTCCAAGCCTTCAACAGTGTCTTCGACTCATTTAATACTCTCTTCATTCTATCATTGCAAAAGCATTCTTTGGTCCGTTGTCTGAGTTACTGCCCCTGAAAGTTTATGCTGCTTACATTTAATGAACCTTTTTTAAAACGGTGTATCCTAGAGACATGGGACCAACTGCATCGGCATGTTTGACTTTGACCTTGAAATATAGGTCAAGGTCAAAGTCATTTAAGAACATAAGAAATTCCTTATATATGTGTGAAATATAGCAATTCACCAAATGACCTTGAACTTTGACCTTGACCTTTGGCCTTGACATTGGGTCAAATGAAAAGTAAGGACATGCATCCAGCTCCAGTATCAGGTAAAAACATAGAAAGTAAAATTTCCTTGTTTTGGTTTTTTTTTTTTTTTTTTTTTTTTTTTTTTTTTTGAAATGGCCTTGACCTTTGATCTTGACCTTTGATCTTGACCCAAAGGTCACAATCAGGCTTAAAGATGTGAAAGTAGTTACAATTCTTAGTTTAAAAGAGGCATAAAATAAATAATTCATTCCCCCCCCCCTTCTTAAAAAAAATCACATCAACAACAACGTAGAATATTTCTGTAAAATTCAAACCAGACCTCGGATCGACAACATATTTGGTACATTTGTAGTATAGACCTCAGAGAAACTTTCTTGAGAGTTTTACGATGAGTCTTATAAGTTTATAGAAGTCATGAAGTTTCACGGCAAAAACTACAAGTTCTGTTGTGTTTGAAATTAAAGTGCAGGTGAACGAAAAAATGATCTAAACCTTTTATCGGCTATTTCTTCAGATGTCGTTAGTAGCATTCGATTTTCCTGATATGATACGACATTTTAATACCAAGCATTCTCTCTTTCTTTTACATTTGGAATTTATTTGATTTTTATTTAGAATTAATCAGTTTCCAGAAATAGCGATTTTCGGTATATTAAAAACAATTCTCGCTTTCATTGTTGGGTTTCCCTTCTAAAAATGCATGTTGGGAGTTTAATTTGTGCTACACATATTTAATTTAACCCAAAGAAATGCTTATTTAAATGTTTCATATTAATTTCAGGATATTCAGTCAGAAATGTTAAAATCCGAACCCGATCTTTTAAGCTTACAACAAAGCTATTTTCAAAAAATTCAGCATGCTCACAATATCGATGAATCGGGCTACAGTCCATTAATACATTTTCATTAGGGAACAGTGTTAACGTTTTCTCACGCAGCCCGTCCTTTTTTATTAAGGTCTTCCGACTTCCTTCGGAAGACCTTATTGTTTTCCGTCTGTTTTCTATTATTATTAAGGTCTTCC